TTTTTTTTTTTTTTTTGATTTATTGTAGAGATGAGTCTCACTGCCAGGCGGGTCTCGAAACCGTGGGCTCAGGCAATCCACTCACCTCAGCCTCCCAAAGGCGGGGGATTACAGGCTGAGCCACCGAGCCTGGAGGGTAACTGCATTACTTTTATTAAAAGTGCTTGCAAATCAAATGGATAATATAGAGATCTCAAGTTATCCTGTTGTGTTCTAGTGTACAAATGGTAAACTATCGCTCTCTGCTAGGTGAGATAGTGTAGCCCTTCCCAGCAAAGCATGCTTGCTTCCTGGAGTTGCTTGGGATTGAGTTATTATGCTCTCTTCAAGGACTCTGATCCAAGAACTTAAAATCTGTCATGTCAAAGGCTTCCATTTCAGATCCAATTAAGCCTGGGAAGCTCACTCTTTCTGGCACATTCCCTTTCAAAGGAGTTCTGATCTGAGAACTAGAAAACGCCTGCCCTGGAGAGCATCCTTGTTTGGAAGTGAAATGGTCCATGCCTCTGAAACACCAGGATGACACTCTGTGTGTTGACATGAGAGGGGAAAAGGGCTTGACCATTCTGAAAGGCTGTGTCTTGTGTGGCTTTCATGATAAGTCATTCTGAGTGAGGCGGTTTGAAAACATCCTGCTAAATGCAGAGGGATTTCAAGTGGCTCTGTCCAGTTCACAGATGATGCTGTTTCTCCAAGCTATTTCTAGATGTAGCCCTCACTGGGATGCAGCATGTCAGAGAAAACCAAACTGTATAAGTTGACTCATAGGGCCTCAGTTGCCCTTGGACCTTCCTATTCCATCCCTAGTTCCCAAGATGACCCTCACTGGATTTGTTCTGAAGCATTTTGGGGTCAGCCATGTGCCCAGGTTGAAGGTCAGCTGGGGACCACAAGGGAAGCAATGAGTTGATACCGTGTGCCACCCCTTTACTCTTGAGCACTGACTGGAAGAAAAGCTGGATCAGAATGCAGTACCAACTGGGCGTGGTGGCTCACACTTGTAATCCCAGCACTTGGGGAAGCCAAGGTGGGAGGATCGCTTGAGACCGGGAGTTCGAGACCTAGTCTCTACAAAATTTAAAAACTGACCAGGCAGGGTGGCACACACCTGTAGTCCCAGCTACTTGGGAGGCTAAAGCAGAAGGATTACCTGAGCCCAGAAGGTCGAGGCTGTGATGAGCCGTGACTGTGCCACTGCACTCCAGCCTGGGCAACAGAGCGAGACCCCAACACAAAAAAGAAAAAAGAAGGCAGAGTTGTCGGCCCAATTTCCACTCTAAGTGAGAAACTCAGCAGGCCCCAGCATCGTCCTCATTGTGTGCATGAATGGAGTCTTGGTTTTTAAAGATGACTCATGTTTCTTTTAGGCTGAAGAAAGATTATGGAAAATTCAAGGAAACCATCTTATGGATCATGAGGAGGCGTGAAAGTAAGCACCACTCTGCCTTATTTACCCTGTGACCCGCTGTCCCGTACGTGATCCACTGCCTCCCACCTTCTGCGTGTGCTGTAAGGAGTGGGAAACTCCTTCATTCACTTGAGTGCTTACTGGGCTAGTACAGCCCCAGTTGGGGTGAAATACAGAGCATGACCTTCTGGGCTTATCCCTTGGAGGGGGGAGATGGAGAAGATAGACAAGAAAGTTAGGAGTGACTGCACAGAATGGCTAAGCCCTATGATGAACACGGAGGCTAGGGACGCCACGGGAGGGACTAAGCCCAGATTTGGAGGAGGAGGTGCAGGGGGGCTTCAGGAAGGCTATATTAATGCAAAATATGGGAAATTGTGCCTTTGCCAGGAGACGAAAGGCATTTTGGTGTCCAGCTATTAAGATCTGCGAATCATGACGGTTACCGGTTTTTTGGATCTAATCATAGAAAGTTTGGGTCAAGGGGTTAAGCTATCAGCCTATTTAATTCAAAAACTCAAAACCAGCCAAGCACAGTGGCTCACACTTGTAATTCTAGCACGGTGGGAGGCCTAGGTGAGAGGATTGCTTGAGTCCAGGAGTTGGAGGCCAGTCTAGGCAACATAGTGGGACCTCACCTCTACAAAAAATGCAAAAATTAGCTGGCTGTGGTGGCACACGCCTGTAGTCCCAGTTCCTCGGGAAGCTGAGGCGGAAGGATTGCCGGAGCCCAGGAGGGTAAGGCTACAGTGAGCCAAGATTGCACCACCGCGCTCCAGCCTGCATGACAGAGTGAGACCATGTCTCAAAAAAACAAATAGAACAAACAAACGCAAAACTCAAAACCACAATACACACTATCTTTCAGCTTACTAGATCCAACTCATATAGAAATGACAGCAGTACCCATGAGAGATAGAGCTCATCAATCACGGTACTTTTTTTTTTTGCTGAGGCAGATCTCAGCCCCAGATTTCCCCCCAAGAGAGTGCGCCCATCCCCTTACCAATTTATGCCCCTGATCTAATGCTTAAGAAATAGCTGTTGTGAGCCGGGCACAGTGGCTCACGCCTATAATCCCAGCACTTTGGGAGGCTGAGGTGAGAGAACTGCCTGAGCTCACAGGTTTGAGACCAGCCCTGGCAACTTGGCGAGACCTCATCTCTACAATAAATCAAAATATTGGCTGGGCATGGTGGTGCGTGCCTGTAGTTCCAGCTACTTAGCAGGCTGAGGTGGAAGGATCCCCTGAGCCCAGCAGGTTGAGGCTGCGGTGGCTGTGAGCGTGCCACTACCTTCCAGCCTGAGCAACAGAGTGAGACTCCAAATAAAAAAAAGAAAGAAAGAAAGAAAGAAAGAAATAGCTGTTGTGGATGGGACGTTTTCACATACACCATCTGGTCCAAACTAATCTTCAGAACCATGTGAGGTAGAATAAAGAAATGAAGGCTCAGTGATGCTAAGCGACTTGCCAAAGCTCACCCAGCCATTAAGTGGAAAAGCCTCTCACCCCCAAGACCTCTCAGGTCAAGGCCAGAGCTCCTCCCCTTGGCAAGTGCAGTGTGTCTCTGGGAGAAAATGTGGCAGGTCATCTAAGCCTCGGTTTCATATCTTCATTGGAGGCAGCGGGTGGAAAGGAAGAGGGATTCCCACCTACAGTTACCAAAATGGGAGGACCCTGTCTCCTATTAAGTCACACAGTGGAATACCCCCAACAAGGAGGGGGTCAGATTACCACCAACCGAAAACACAACCTCTCTGGACAACTAAAGCCTATATGATGTGAGCTTTTGTTACAGAAACACAACATATCTGATTGACAAGAGTCATCGCCTCCATGTTCCTGCTGTGGCCAGTCCCAAAGAGATCTCCCAGTCACCTTGGAGGTGCAAAGTCATTCATCTGCAGTATCCAGCCCCTCTTCCGTATTTCAGGCTCACAGCCTATGTCTCTGAGCATGCCAATTCCCAAACCAAGGCCAGCTTCATGGGCGTGAGACCTCTGCGTTCCATGGGGACTCTGCACTTAGAAGGCTCTGTGCTTGGGGTGAAGCTCTGCAACCTTGGAATTCTTCATGATTTTAGAGCAAGAATCTCTGCATTTTCACCTTGCTTGGGGCTCCTCAAATTATGTAGGCTTTCTATTCAGAGCCATCTGATCTGGTGGAAAGGAGAACATTGCATAGCTTGTATCATGAACCATGGAAATGCAAAGCTCTTTTTTGAGAAGGACACAGACATATTAACCTTCTGCTAAGTGGCAGGCACCAGGCACGTATTATTTCACAGCAACCCCCTAGGTAACTGTAGGTAGCATTATCGCACTTTAATTTTTTTTTTTTAGTTGGAGTCTCACTCTGTCACCCAGACTGGAGTGCAGTGGCCACTCCCGGCCACTGCAACCTTGACCTGCTGGGCTCTGGCGATCCTTCTGCCTCAGCCTTCCGAATAGCTGGAACTACAGGCACGCGCTACCACGCCCGGCTGATTTTTGATTTATTGTAGAGATGAGGTCTCGCCAAGTTGCCTGGGCGGGTCTCGAACCCACAGGCTCGGGCAATCTGCTCACCTCAGCCTCCCAAGGCGCGGGATTACAGGCTGAGCCACCGAGAACGGCTATCGCACTTTAAGACATCCAAGGCTGAAACACCTTCAAAAAAATCTCAAATGTATTTATGTAGCTCACAGTTCCAGAGTTTGGGACGCCCAAACCATGCATGCTCCGACATGTGGTGAGAGCCTTCTTGTAGTACCATGATACATTGAAGGGCATCACATGGCAAGGATGCATGCCCACAAGACAGAGTATGTCACATTTAAAATAATGGCATTAATCCATTCATGAGGGCCGAGATCTCATGATCTAATCACTTCTTAGAGCCCCTCTGGGGCTGGAATTACAGGTGTGAGCCACTGTGCCTGGCCTGCTTTTTTCCAATTAGCAGCCACACTGTCTGTTGGCTGAGGGCAGCACTCATTGCGCTGTAGTTGGCATATCGCTGGGTCACCCCTGACACCTCCATCTGGGCGAAGTGGTCTTCACCATTATATTAGGCTAGCACTGGTCTTAGGCACTTGATAATATGTGTTGAGTGAATTCGTGGCCAGAGTGAGCTGAAATTTCAGGTCCTACTTGTCTCACTTCAAAGGCTCTGTTCTTCCTACTACCTGGCAACTTCCTTACTGCGGGGAGGTGGTGGATCTCCCAAACCCTCAAACTCACCTTGGCATCTTGAGAGAGATAAAGCAAAGTTTCCTTTCTCTTTTCCACCAAAATCTTATTCAACTCAATCATTGGATGGGATGACTAGTTCAAAAGTTGGCAGGTATGACTACTTTAACGTTTCATTTATTAACTGAACCACCAACAATTGAGGAGCCCAAGACAGAAGAAATCAAAAAGCCTCGGCGTACTGTTCGTCGTCGGAAGAAATTAGAACTAGATACACAATGGATGAAGACAAGGCCAAAGGTACGCGTAGCAGTACGTTGGTGTTTTCACTTTGCACAGGTTTTTTTTTTGGCTCAGTTAAGGTGCACATACACTATCACAACAGTCAGGACCAATACACAATTAAACACAAACAAGAAAAATATATCCAATATGTAGAGACACACCTGAGTGTATGGGATATGGCAGATTGACTAGGATTTTTACTAGGGTTTTTTGAGATTCTTCTGCCTGCAGGGACTGTCTTAGGCAACTGGATGGAGTGTAAGTGGAAATAGGAAATATGTATTATAATATATAGGCCCTGGCCAGGCAAAGTGGCATATGTCTTAGTCCCAGTTACTCAGGAAACTGAGGCAGGAAGATTGCCTAAGCCCAATAGCTCAAGGCTGCAGTGAGCTATGATCATGTCTGTGAATAGCCACTGCACTCCAGCCCGGGCCACAGAGTGAGACCCCAACTCGAAGGAGAAGAAGGGGAGAAAGGGAAAGGAAGAAAGAGGAAGGAGGAAGGAAGAAGAAAGAGGAGGAGGAGAAATATATACATATATCTCCTTCCCCCAATAAATTAAATTTCCAACCAGGTACTGTGGCTCACGCCTGTAATCCCAGCACTTTGGGAGGCCAAGATGGGAGGATCTCTTGAGCCTAGGAGTTTGAGACCAACCGAGGCAACATAGTGAGACCCCGTCTCTACATAAAAAAGTCAAAAAATTAGCCAGATGTGATAGCATGCACCTGTAGTCCCAGTGACTTGGGAGGCTGAGGGAGGATCCCCTTTGCCCAGGAAGTCAAGGTTGTGGTGGGCCGTGATCGTGCCACTGCACTCCAGCCTGGGCAACAGAGTGAGACCCCGACTCAAAAAAATCAAATTTTATATAAAAAATCAATCTCACAGTGAATGGATAAATAAGCTGAGGTACATTCATATCATAAAATAATATCAGCACTAAAAAGAAATAAGCTATTGAGACTTGGAAGAACCAGGCTCAGTGGCTCAGCCTGTAATCCCGCGCCTTTGGGAGGCTGAGGTGAGTGGATTGCCTGAGCCTGCGGGTTCGAGACCTGCCTGGGCAGGCGAGACCTCATCTCTACAATAAAATAAAAAAAAATTTAGCCGGGCGTGGTAGCGCGCGCCTGTAATTCCAGCTACTCAGAAGGTTGAAGGATCGCCGGAGCCCAGCAGGTCGAGGCTGCAGTGGCCGGGAGCGGCCACTGCACTCCAGTCTGGGCGACAGAGTGAGACTCTTCTTAACTTTAAAAAAAAAAAAGACTTGGAAGAATCTTAACCCTCTTGCTAAGTGAAAGAAACCAATCTAAAAACGTAATATGCTATGAACTCTTCCCTGTGACATTCTGGAAAAGGCAAAACTGTGAAGATAGTGGAAAGATTAGTGGTTGCCAGGGGTTGCAGGGAAGGACAGAGGAATAGGTAGAACATAGGATGTTTTTAGGGCAGTGAAACTCTTTTGTATGATTCTACAATGGATACATGCTGTTATACATTTGTCCAAACTCACAGAACGTGTAACACTAAGAGTGAGCCCCAACATAAACTGTGGACTTTGGGTGATATGGTGTGTGTGTCCAGGTTCATGAACTGAAAAAAAGTACCACTCTGCTGGGAGATATTGGCAGTAGGGGAGGCTATGCGTGTACTGGATTCTCTGTACTTTCCACTCAATTTTGCTGTGAACTGCTCTAAAAAAATGAAGCCTATAAAAAAATTACATAGTGTATTTAAAAGACTGATACTATAAAGTCATAAGTGAAAACCAGTCTAAGTGTTAGAGTCATTGAAAGTGCATTGATAATCAGGTCTAAAGCTCAAAAAAGAGACATTTAAGTGGGGATCAGAAAAATAGAATAGGCTTGGTGCAGTGGCTCATGCCTATAATCCCAGCATTTTGGGAGGCCGAGGCTGGAGGATTGCTTGAGCCTAGGAGTTCGAGATCAACCTGGGCAACATAGCGAGACCTCATCTCTACCAAAAAAAAAAAAAAAAAGTAAAAATTGTCTAGGTATGGTGGTGCTTGCCTGTAGTCCCAGCTACTTGGGAGGCTGAGGTGGGAGGATCACTTGAGCCCAGGAGTTACAGGCTGCAGTGACTAGGCAACAGAGTGAAACCCTGACTCACAACTTAAAAAAGAAAGATGTGGTAGACTTATGCCTTCAGTAAACATGCATTGAGAGCATTCTCTGCCTGGGCACGCTTGTAGGTGCGGGAAATACAGAAGTAAACAAAGCAAAGACCTTGCTCTCAGGGAGCTTCTGCTCTAGCTGAGGAGAGAGCCAGCACACAAAAATGCTTCTCAATGCAATGCCAGCTGTTGTTAGGTACCACCCGGAGAAGCAGCAAGGGGACCCTCCAGCTGCCGGCTTGAGAGAAGTGTTCTCATACCTATAGGGCAACCAGGGAAGGCCTGTTGGATCAAGCGCCATTTGGGCCTAGGCATGTATGAAATGAGGGAGCCATGGACACTTCTGGGGGAAGGACATTTTAGGAAGAGCCAACAAGTGCAAAGACCCCAAGGCCTTTGCCTCAAGGACAGCTGTGAGGAAGTGAAAGAGAAACAGGAAATTAGCTTGGGTGACCGGACCAGATGGAGCCCCCGCCTCCAGGGCACAAAGCCTGTCTTAGTCAGGAAAATGTTCATTTGCTTCTGAAATTCCGAGTGGTTTGGTGAACAGATGTGTAATTCTTGCTCGTTTCATGTCTATTTTGAGTTTCATAGTTTTTTTTTTTGAGTCGGAGTCTCACTCTGTTGTCCAGGCTGGAGTGCAGTGGCACACTCATGGCCACTGCAGCCTCGACCCACTGGGCTCAGGTGATACTTCCACCTCAGCCTTCCAAGTAGCTGGAACTACAGGCAAGTATTACTATGCCCGGCTTATTTATCTATTTATTTATTGTAGAGGCTAGGTCTCACCAAGTTGCCCAGGCCAGTCTTGAACCCCTGGACTCAGGCAATCCTCTAGCCTCAGCCTCCCAAAGTGCTGGGGTTATAGGCTTGAGCTACTGTGCCCAGCCTCATAGCTCTTTTAAGTGGCTGTCCTTCAAGGTGGGTCTCAGAGATCTGGGCCCTTTGATCCTGAGTCTCCACTATCCTGGCATTCTTTGTGTCCACAGCATGGACAAGAAGTGAAGCCAGGGTCCAGACTTAAATTCTATGGACCAGAACGAGTCCCGTGACCCCAACTAGCTGCAAGACAGCTGGGAAATGTCCTCCTGCTGTGTCTCAAGGGAGAAATGGGAACAGTCTGCACTCAGAGGAAAAGGGATGAAACAATCAATGTGATAAGTGTGGCCGCACTTGTGGCAAAAGCGGAAGAGAATAGGAAACCGACACGGTTAACCAAGGTGCAGACTTTTCTGGACTCCAGACGAGGAATGGGATGCATTCCTTCATCTCTTGAGTCTGCATGTAGGAGGGAAGTCAGTGGGACCAGTGAGAACTCCAATGGGCTCTCCTGATTGTAACAGACAATATAAGGGTATTGGAAGCCCTTATGTAAAGTCTTCAGCTTTTCCATCTCTCCGGTCTCTCTTCCAATAAATTAAAGAAGTCTTCCTTGGTTTCTTGCTCCAGTTGAGCTGGCCAACCCCATGTTCTTTCCACACTCCAAGCCCTGTCCTGCCTTGGAACTTTTGCTTCTTTCTGCACCATCTGCTCCTTCCTCATACCTCCCAGGCTAAAATGTCCTCCCCGCAGCCAAGAGGAAGATTCTCAACAAAATCTCTAAGCAGAGGATCCTTCCCAACCCACCATTTATGCTGGGCTGTAGTAAGGGCTTGTTTTTATTTGTTTTACCTCTAGTAGAACTGCAGGAATGACCCGAGACAGTCTTTTCTCTCTTCACTTTTATTTCTTAGCCTCATCGTCAATTGATCTCCAAGCAAATGGGGATGAGTTTCAGACTTTTAAGATGTGACACGTGCCGGGTTCGGTGGCTCAACCTGTAATCCTAGTGCTTTGGGAGGCTGAGGTGAGTGGATTGCCTGAGCCCGCGGGTTCAAGACCTGCCTGGGCAACTTGGCGAGACCTCATCTCTACAATAAAATAAAAAATTAGCTGGGCATGGTAGCGCACGCCTGTAGTTCCAGCTATTTGGAAGGCTGAAGCGGAAGGCTCACCAGAGCCCAGCAGGTTGAGGCTGCGGTGGCTGGGAGCATGCCACTGCACTCCAGTCTGGGTGACAGAGTGAGACTCCAATTAAAAAGAAAAAAATGTGACACTTATTATGTATTTCCCAGTGAGAGAAAAGGTGCCAACTCCAGCTCTGTGTCAAAGATTTTGCTTTGCCCATGGGACTCTTATCATCAGAAAAATGTCACTACATGAGAAGTGAATTTGACAAGCAACTCAAGAAATTCTGGTTTGGGGGGAGCATTTGAAAATTAGACCTAAATTACAAATACCCTCTCCTCTTGAAAAATATCTAGATGCTTCCTACAGGCCACCAGGGCAAGCCAACTGTGGGTGTCTTTACCAAGCACTTTTTAACCTAAGCGTCCATCAAAGGATGGCTGAATAAAGAAAATGTGGGCTATATACACAATGGAATACTATTCAGCCTTAAAAAAAGGAGGAAATCCTGTCATTTGTGACAACATGGATAAACCCAGAGGACATCATCCTGAGTGAAATAAGCCAGGCACAGAAAGACAAATACTGTATGATTCCACCTATATGTGGAATCTAAAAAAGTCTAACTCACAGAAGCAGAGAGTAGCCTGGGACTGGGGGGTAGGAATATGGGGAGATGTTGGTCATAGGACATAAAACTTCAATTAGGAGACTTTTACAACATGATGACTATAGATAATAACGATATACTGTCTTTGAAAATTGTTACAAGAGTAGATTTTAAGTGTTTTTGCCACAGGAAAAAAAAATTGTTTACTCTGCCCAGGCACTCTTGTAGGTGCTGGAAATACAGAAGCAAACAAAGCAAAGACCCTGCTGTCAGGGAGCTTCTGCTCCAGCTGAGGAGAGAGCCAGCACACCAAAGTGCTACTCAGTGCAAAGCCAGCTGTTGTTAGGTGCCACCTGGAGAAACAGCAGGGGAGGCCTCCAGCTGTTGGCTTAAGAGAGGAGTTGTTCTCAGACCTCTAGGGCAGACAGGGAAGGCCCATTTGAGGCTAGGCGTGTACCAAATGAGGAAGCCATTTCGTATGTTAACCAGCTTGATTTCGCCATTCTACAATGTATACAAAACACCATGTTGCACACCATAAATATATATAATTTTTATTTGTCAGTTAAAAAAGAAACTTTTTAAAGGACACTTTTTTAGGGTTAAAAAAATAAAGCACTGGGCGTGGTGGCTGAAGCCTGTAATCCCAGCACTTTAGGAGGCCGGGGCAAGAGGATTGCCTGAGCTCAGGGGTTCAAGACCAGCCTGGGCAACTTGGTGAGACCTCGTCTCTACAATAAATCAAAAAATAAGCCGGGCATGGTAGTGCGCACCTGTAGTTCCAGATACTTGAAAGGCTGAGGCAAGAGGAACACCTGAGCCCAGCAGGATGAGCCTGCGGTGGCCATGAGCATGCCACTGTACTCCAGCCTGGGCAACAGAGTGAGACTCTGACTCAAAAAAAAAAAGGAATTCTTCAACTGTTAAAAATAAGACTTGGAGCCCATCCAGTAACCATGGCACCACCCTGACCCCAACTTTCCACCTCCAGACTCAACTGGTAGTGCAGCCCTCAGCCTCATACTGGTGTCAGATGTGAGAGCCGGTGCTTAACTAAGAAATCAGGCCTCACCGGAGACATTCAGGCAAAGGTTGGACAGCTACTTTTCCAGAACAAAAGGAAATGCATACATCAGAAAAAGTGACTAATCAATGTACCAAACAAATATGGTTGCACAAATACCAGAATCTGATCAGATAAAGCACTTTAAAGAAAGTCTTAGAACTACAGTAAACTCATAGAAAACTGCTTTTTGGACTGAGTTGAGGACTTCACAACAAGAGTAGCAAAATCCGAGCAGACCACCTGTTCAGAACATTGCTTACAGAAATATTTTCGAATGTTGCAAAGAATTCCCCTGAGATTCCAGGATAATCATTCAGCAGAATGATGCACTGGCAGCCAAAGCAGGGCTGCATGGCCAGCCACGACAGAGAAGTCCTGATGGATGGACTTTTATAAAATAGCGCCAACAGCTATTGCACTAGAAATGAGGACCCATCTGCTGGAACCCCTGAAAGCAATAGCCACCACGATAAACCGCCCATTATGACTGGCCAGTGGGAACCACTGGAGAAATAAAATTGCTGTTTTTCAGGGAAAACCTTAATAGAAAGTTGTTCAATGAAAAAGGTAAGAGGCAACATTTGTTGAGGCCTTAATATGCAACAGTTGGGTCGCTTAATTAGAAAAATAACCCATTGTCTCTTCAAAACACAAAATAATAATAATAATAATGACTTGAAAGTCACTGATGTGACATCTTCTAGATAGATTAATGCAGTATACTAGATGGCCTGAAAATCCTTTCTGCTATAAACACCTGGGAGTTGAGATAAGACATAAGTGTCCTTTTAAATATAGAGCAAAGCATATGAGAGAGAAAAGGAAGTACTAATATCAGAAATAGAAAGAAAATCACAAAACAAGCAGAGGGAGTGTGTGAACCAGGTATATGTGCTGGGGAACACATACAGGAGAACAGTGGGTCTTGACCATCCAGGGGCTTGAGTTTTAACATCAACATGGGGACAGGGGATAATGTGTCCTATCCAAGCACACGTGAAACATCTACAATAATTGATCACATGCTAGGCTACAAAACAAATCTCAGCAAACACTAAAGGGTTGGTATCACGTCGATTCTTCTCTTGTCCAAGGTACTTCCGTCAGTAATAATACTAACACAACCAAAGGCACTTTATACATGGGCGAATTTAAGAACACACTTGTAAGTAACTTGTGTATGAAAGAAGAAATCATACTAGAAATTTGAAAATATTTAGAGTGGAGTGAGATATCTATACTTTAGAGTGGAGGTGAATATCTACACTCAGGAAACAGCTAAAAGTATTTTGAGAAGAATGCTTAGTCTGCTTTGTGCTGCTGTAACAGAATCCCACAGACTGGGTAGTTTATAATGAACAGAAATTTACTGATTCTGGAGGCTGGGGAGTCCAAGACTGAGGGGCCACATCTGGCGAGGTTCTTCTTATTGAATCATCCCATAGTGAAAAGGCAAAGAGAGAGTGAGAGAGAGAGAGAGCAGAAGATCGAACTCAGAGCCTCCAGTCCTTTTGTAATTGGCATGAATCCATTTATAAGGTTGGCGCCCCTGTGACCTAAACACTTTCCATTAGACACCACCTCCCAACACTATTACATTGAGGATTACATTTCCAAAACATATTTTTGGGGAAATACATCCAAACCATAGCAGCTTTAAAGGCTCATAAAGTCTACAGCCACACCACCCTAAGAGCACCCAGTCTCATCTGATCTCAGAAAATAAGCAGGGTCAGGCCTGGTTAGGACTTGGAAAGGAAACCTCCTGGGAATGCCATGTCCTGTACGATTTTTAGCAATTGTTTATATTCAAGAAAAAGTAGAAGAAGAATATTAAAGGAGAAGGAAGAGGAGGGTCTTGAAGAAGAAGACAAAAACTAATGAGCTCAACATCCAATTCAAGGAATTAGAAAAATAAAAGAGAATAGCACAGAAAACCCACAGAAAGTAAAAGATATAAATGGTAACAATAAGGGCAGAAATTGACACAATAGAAAACCAAGAGACCAAGTGTGGTGGCTCAGCCGGTAATCCCAGCACTTTGGAAGGCCGAGGTGAGAGGATTGCTGGAGCCCGAGGGTTCGAGACCAGCCTGGGCAACTTGGTGAGACCTCGTCTCTACAATAAATCAAAAATGTAAGCCAGGCACGGTAGCACGCACCTGTAGTTCCAACTACTTGGAAGGCTAAGGCAGAAGGATCGCTTAAGCCCAGCAGGTCGAGGCTGCAGTGGCCATGAGCATGCCACTGCACTTCAGCTTGGACGATAAGAGTAAGACTCCAACTCAAAAAAAAGAAGAAGAAAAGAAAACCAAGAAATAATCGAACAAACAAATCAAAACTTGGTACATTGAAGAATGTAAATGGGCAAACTTTCTAGCAAGGTTGATCCAGGAAAGAAAAAAAAGATAAAGTATAAATAATATAAAGACTGCAGGTAGAGATATAACTGAAAAGACAGCAGAGATTTTTTGGAAAACATTATATAACAACATTTTTATGACAATAAATTGGAAAATGTACACAAAATAAACCATTTCCCAGACAAAATATGATAGACTAAAACTGATTCAAGAAGAAAGTTTAAAAACCTGATTATACCAATGTTATGAGCTGAGTTGTGTCCCCTCAAAAAGATATGTTGAAGTCCTAACCCCCGATGCCTCAGGACATGAACTTATCCAGAAATAGGATCGTTGAGGATGTAATTAGTTAAAATGAGGTGATGCTATGGCAAGGTGTGCCCCTAATCCAATATAAATGGGGTCCTTATAAGAAGACACAGATCACCACATGACAATGGAGGCAGAGATTGGGGTGAAGCACCTGCAAGCCAAGGAACGTCAAGGATCTCTGTCTACCACCAAAAGCTAAGAGAGGCATGAAAGAGATTCTTCCTCAGAGACTCTAGAAGGAACTGGCCCTGTTGATGCCTTGATTTCAGACTTCCAACCCCTACAACGATGAGAGAATAAACTTCTGTAGTTTTTTTTTTTTTTTTTTGAGTCAAAGTACTCACTCTGTCACCCAGGCTGGAGTGCAGTAGCACACTCACAGCCACTGCTGCCTTGACCTGCTGGGTTCAGGTAATCATTCCACTTCAGCCTTCCAAGTAGCTGGAACTACAGGTGTGCATCACCACATCCGGCTAATTTTTTTATTTATTGCAGAGATGAGGTCTCGCCAAGTTACCCAGGTTGGTCTCAAACGCGTGGACTCAGACAATCCTCTCACCTCTGCCTCCCAAAGTGCTAGGATTACAGGCGTGAGCACTGCACCCTGCCACTTCTGTATTTTAAGTTGCTCAGTTTGTGGGACTTTGCTCCAGCAGCCCAATACAACCAATAACCACTGGGTGATTGCAATGATAGTTTTTTTTTTTTAATTACTTACTTTAGAGTTGTGGCGTACAAGGGAAGATTTGCTACCTAAGTAAGCTGCACGCAGGTGAAGTTTGGGCTCCTAGCTGGCCCTCTCTTCCCCTGATAATGGACCAGGTACCCAGTGTGATGCTACATGTTCCCCTCCCTCCTCCCTCCATCCCTCCACTAGCAGTGACCAGCATCTACTGGTTTCACCCTTGAGTCCATGTGACCAGTGGTCAGACCTGTTTGTGGGTGAGAATATTCAGTATTCGGTTGTTTCTGTGATAGTTCACCTAATATGATGGTCTCCAGCTGCATCCAAGTTGCTGTGAAGATCATGCCATGGTTTTGCTCTTCTTTATGGCTGTGTAATACTCCACCATGTATATGGATGACATTTTCTTTATCTAGTCCGTTTTTGATGGGCATCTGGGTTGATTCCACATTTTTGCTATTGTGAAAAGTACCACAATAAAGCAATGATGGTTTACAATCTGCACCCACATACACACACACATCCATTGCAGCCTGTTCATCAAATAAGCATGTAAACGGAAGCCCCAGGAGCTCCCTAGTAAGTTGGAGAGTATCACTGGTGGGTAGGATACGGGCATCAGAGAGCAAGCAGATGTGGGTTCAAATACTCTAGTGACCGCACCGTGCTCTAAGTAGGACAGTCAGCACCCATGCACTTTTTACACTTTTCACAGGCTTGCCTTTTCTTCCCAGGTGCATCGAGATGATGGAAAATTAATTTTCTACCCCAGCAAGAACGTCTTTCAAATTCTCTTTCCTGATAGGACAGGCCAGATACAGTATCCTCTAGAGCACAAGGGTGCTCATATGGGTGTATATTGGCACCCAAAGAGTCTGTGATTCAGGGCTGGGCTGTAGGATTTGAAGCCTGTGTCCTCTTCGGGTCCCTTTCTTTTCAGGGGATCTCAAAGGCCTGCTTGTGCCTTAACTACCTCCCAGTTATCCTTCAGGAAACCTGGCAGTGCTCATCTCCTGTACGAATGTGAGAAAGTTCACATACATTATTCTGGAAGACTGTACCAAAGGGTGGGTCCGGGCCCTTATCAACAACTCTGGCCATGCCACCTTCTATGATGAAAATGGAGATTTTTGGTAAGTTTGGGTCATGAGTCCAGACACCCCTGCCAGTGGAGAAGCAGAGTGCTGACATTTGATCCCAGTCAGTATGGCCTTTCTCTCTCCCTGACTCTGACCCACACATGTTGGAAATGGGAGAATGGGTACCCCAATGGGCAAGTCCCACAGGTCTCCGCTCTCAGAGGAGGTACAATGTCCCTGTTGCACCATTGGGTCCCCATGGGTGAAATAACTGTCAAGGATACACAGCAACCACATTCTACTGGCTTCGTCTAAACACCTCCTGAGAGTCAACCCGTGTGAGAATGGTCTCAGAAAGATTCAGTGCCTCTTTGTTCTGGATGTCCTAGAAAGGAAGGTTTGGAGAGGGCTTTGCAGACACGTGTGTTTTATAGATTCCACTGTCAAAAAGGTAGCATCTAGATATTTTATTATAACTGAATTTAGTTAAGTCCCCATTTCTGATGCGGGTAGAAAACTTCATCTTACCAATTCAAGGTAACTCAGTCACTTCAAGATGTTTCTCCTTCTCTTTGAGGTAAGCGTTGTCTTCAGGATTTCTCTTCAGTCCTTCCATTCTATGTGGCCATGGCATGAAAGACATGTACCAGAGGGGACCCCAAAAAAACCCAGAACTTATTTATTTAAAAAGTGTGTATTTATTCTTAAATATTTAAATTTCTGTCACCTTCAAAGTACTCTCCACTTGATGCAATACACCTATCGAGAAGCGTTTTCCACTCCTCAAAACAGTTTTACAACTCATCAGTTTAGATATCTCTTAGCATTTCTGCTGTTTTTGTTTCGCATCAGCAAAATGTTTCCCTTTGAGGAATTTTTTCATCCAGAAAACAAAAAAAAAGTTGCTCAGAGTGAGATCCAGTGAATATGGAGGGTGGGACATGGGGGTCATGCCGTGTTTGGTCAAAAACTGTTGAACTCTTAGGTGCAGTGTGGGCAGGTGCACTTGGAAATCACCCATCATAAAACAGATAAACATGCTGAAAGAATCTCCAAAAAAATTCACTGAAGCTGAACACAGCCTCTCACAACAATGCTAGCTGGTACACTGATGCTCATAGGTTCCTAGAATACCTACCTGGCATGAGAAGCTTGTACTACAAGAGGGCCTGCCCTCCAAAAAAATAATTCTGGGGTTTTTTGGGTCCCTCCTCATGGTGTCTTGTATCAACTTTATACTTTATTTTTGATAGTCAAAGTCAATTCTTTTTTTTTTAATTCAAAAAATATATTTTTATTTTCTAGTCCTTGGTTTTTAAGACTATTTTCTTTGCTATGAGTCTTTTTAGACACTATTCATTTCCTGATGGGCTTCTTTGTCCTGGAAGTTTCTGCCTTCCCCTGAGATCCCTGTGTATAGGAAATGCTGTCTGAAAAGAAGACCAAGGTCCTGGGTATAGGAAACACAAGGGATTGAAACTCAGTTAATTATTTCAAATAGTACCTAGTGATGTAAAGTAGGGACCCTTCTCCCTAAAGACACTCAGTTTTAGGGTCAGAAGAGACCTGGGGAAAATCTAGAAACTACTTTCATTTTCTTGATGAGGAAACTTAGGTTCACAGCATATAAGTCCCTTGCCATAAGTCGTACATAAAATTATAGGTAAGAAGCTTGATGACATTTTCACTCAGCCTATGATAAAGCTTTTTTTTTTTTTTTTTTTT